GGTGACCCTCCCCACGGCTCGAGGTACAGGCTGGCCGTCTTTCTCCCAGGTGATGTGGGGTTCGGGGCTGCCCCTCGCCGTGCAGGGCAAGAGGGCGTGGGAGCCTTCGGTGGCCGAGAGGTCGGGGAGGCCTGTCTCGATCACAGGTGGGACTGTGGGAGAGGGGGCCTGTTTGGGGAGGGCTGGGGAAGTGGGCTGCCCCCACCCCAGGGCCTGTTTCTAGGCACGGTCCCTCAGCTTCCTGTAGTCGGTGTCCAGCACTGACCGACTCCAGCCACAGGGCATCGCCCATGCTCTGGGTGACTTGGGACCCTGAGTTCGGTGAAGCTGCGACAGTGAGCCCACTGCACCTGCACACACACACACACATACACATACGTGTGCATGCACAAGCACGCATACACAGTGATCAAGAGCTCCAGGGCAGTGGTCTTGGGCAGGCCCAGAATCCAACACCAACAAAGTAGCGTCATAGCCTGTGTGCTGCCTCCTGCCGGAGACGCTTCCTCGGGGCAGAAGGAACGTCCTGGCCGGCAGACGTGCGGACTGGTTTGTCTGGGGACCAGGAATGCTCCAGGCACAGGCAAGAGCCGTTTTCTGGACGAAGGCCCTGAGGAGGTGTGGGGCCAGGAGCCATGCCGGGTCCACAGCCCAAGTCCAACCCCCATGCTTGACAGCTGCCCACAGAGACAGCCATGGACAGGCCTAATGCAGGCCACCGGGCCAAAGCACAACGGTCCCGGGCGAACACTCCCAGCACGCTTTGCAGATTTCAGACCAATGCAGACCCTTTACGTTCGTAGACCGAGGCTGGTCAAGACCGAGGCTGGTCAAGACAAGGGCAAGGAGCGTTCGATGGCACATTTATACAGAAGGAGGGGTGGGGGAACCAGAATGAATGAGGGAGGTGACCCAGGTCCCAGGAGGGACCAGAGAGAAGGCAGAGGAGACAGGAGTACAGTTGGGAGCCAGACCTGGGTGTGAGATGAGGGAAGGTGCTTTCTCCTAATCCATCCAGAGCAACTGCAGGGCTGGGGTTGGTGGGTGCAGGGGTGCGCCTGGGCTCAGAGGTGGGCAGGGAGGGAAGCTCGCAGGCCCTGGAAGCCCCTTGGTCCCTGGGGCCCGCCCAGCCGCTCTGTGGGCCCACCTTGCACACTGAGCCGCGTCTTCCCCATGGCGCTGCCTGCGCTGTTCTGGGCGAGGCAGAAATAGTTCCCAGCATCCTCTGGGCTGACCTGGACAATCCGCAGCTGTCCACTGGGTAGGACCTGGACACTCGGCCCTGGATATGGTAGGGACAATCAAGGGCTTGTGCCTGGGTGGGGGGACCCCCAGGAGGGGAGGAGGTGGCTTGAGCTGCTTCAGATTTTACCCAAATGATAAGTGGGGTCAGAGTGACTGAGTGAGCAGATCACTGACTGAGCAGGGAGGCCTGGCCCAGAGCCCAGACAAGACCCTTCTCTGACCTTCCATCTTACCCATCGAGTGCCCAGGGTGCTCCTGGTGACAGGAGAAAGGGGGCGGGAGGGGACAGCCAGAGCAGGCCAGGGCCGGGGTTCTTGGGGTGCCTCCAGAGGAGACTCACCTGCAGGGACACTGAGCCCTTCCTTCTGCCAGGTGATGGTGGGCCGGGGGGTGCCTGAGGCCTCACAGGGCAGCAGCACCTCCTCCTCCACCACTGCCCGAATAACGCTGGGCAGCGGCTTCACCACGGGGGAGGCTGCAAGGAAACGAGGTGCAGAGGTTCCCCGGGACGCCTTCAGTACCCCAGCCTCATGGTAGCTGCTTTCCCACTCCCCTCTGAGCACTGGGGGCAGAGGCCTCTAAGGGCAACAGGAGCTGCTGGAAAGCTTGGACGCAGGGACAAGGACAGGGGGTCAATCCCTTCTCCCTAAAGAATCCACCGCAGTCTGAGCAGAGGAGGGCCGGGCCTTGGAACCCCTGCCTCACCTCCACGCCCAGCTCCACCTGCCTCTACTCCCCAGCTGCCCCCGCCCTAGGGCAGTGTCCAGCCAGGCCCTTACCTTGCACGGTGAGGGCCACGTGCTTGTGGGCCACGCCAGCAGCGTTGTGGGCTGTGCAGGTGTAGCGGCCGGCGTGGATGGGGAGGGCCTGTGTGATCTCCAGGGCACCTGTGGGTAGGAACACGGCCTGGGTGGGATGGGTAATGGAGACAGAGGCCCCAGGGCTGCAGGCGGCAGGGCTTCACCCCGTCTCTGCTCCAGGCTACCCGGCCTGCCTCCCTCACCCATGTACACACAACGTGGGGACCCCATAGCACCGGCACGAGGGTTCTAGGCCTGCCCCTCCTGGCCTGAAGCAATACCGTGAGCCAATCTCCTCCACTTTCTGGGGCTTAGTTTCCCCATGCGCATAATGGAGCCTGGGAAAGTAGTATTTGGATCCTCTGGCTATGAAGTTCCAGGATCTGCCACTGTCCTGCCTGGAATCCCTGGCCCAGTTCCCTGACCCTGCTGTTCTCACTATGCACTGCTAAAATCTCACCTCCTCCAGGAAGTCTCCCAGGATCACTGCCTCCTCTGCCCTTTTACCCTTGGTCTTGGTTATTCCTTCAACCATTTTAACCCTCTCACACTGCAGGCAGCATTTGGGCAGCCAAGTGAAGCCCTGAGGGCTTGCTGGGTGGGTGCGGGGGGCAGGGCCCACTTGCCTCTGGACCCTTCTGAGCCCCCACCCCGATGGAGCCAGAACAGTGGCCTCCCTTACAGGTCGGGCTTTGCTGCCACTGCGTGCAGGAAAGAGATGGTCTGCTTCAGCCAAGTTCGAAAACCACCGGAGGCCCTGGGTCCCAGACCTTAGGGGCTCACTAAGTAACCAAATGATGAGCGGTTTAATTTGGGGAGTCCCCATCGAGCTGCCAACCTTTCATTGCATTGTTCATTTTCACTGTTTTTCTCACTTGCCTTGAAGCAGCAGGGAGCCGCCGGAGGGCCTGCACTAGAGGCTACCGAGACTCGAGGCTCGGAGAGGGCCAGGGCCTCCCGGCTCATACAGCGAAGCCGTGGCAGGGCCGGGCCGGGACCTTCCCTTCTGCAGCACCTTCGGGCCCCTCTCACTTTCCCTGTGGCTCTCCCGGAGACTCGTCCCTGCTTACCCGAAGGCAGGACACGGTGGCCGCTTCCCCGCCCCCCCAGCTGGGCACCCGCCTTGCTCCAGGACACGGCCGGGGCTGGCACGCCCGAGCTGTGGCACGTGAGGACCACGGGTGCCATCTTGGTTACGGTGAAGTCGGTCTGGTCGTCGGCAATGGTGGGAGGCACTGAAACCCAAGACGAGGCTCGAGGCCCTGCCGGGTGCACAGAACCGCGGGGGGCGAGAACCGCGACGGAGGCAGAGACTAGGCCGTGGGGAGCAACCACGACGGAGAGACCAGGCCGCCGGGAGCACGTCTGCGCAGCAGTGGGTGTGGTCGGGCACAGGGGTGCGGTGGTGAGCACCTTGATGAGGTGCTGGCCACAAGGAGGGGCTTTGGGGAGCCACCCCCTCAGAGTGGAGAGGCGGGAGAGGGGCCTGAAGGAGAAGCAGTCGGAGGGTGAAGGAAGAGCACCCTAGCAGAGGAGCTGTGCTGGGTGCCCAGGTGGGGGACAGAGGGCCGAGCAAGCGACTGGCTGGACGGGAGCGAGGCGGCCCGTGGGATGAGCTGAACCTCAGGCTCAGAAACCTCACACAGTGTCCTGAGCGTGGGGAGCAGCGGTGAGGGATAAGGTCAGACTTGGCTTTAGAAGATTCTGGCTTGGGGAAGGACCTCTCCTGCCAGCTCCCACATGTCAGCAACCATGCTAGAGCCAGGGCTACTTTAGTGTGGGTAGGCAAGGCCTGAGGGCTTCCTGGAGGAGGTGTTCCACAAAACACAGACAGGCTGGGAGGAAACCAGCATAAGTCCCCGCAGGGAGGGAGAGCATCCAAGAGAAGGAAGCACTGCCCCACCACGGCTTCCACTTCCGCCCCAACTCACCGTGGACCGTCACCTGGTAGAGCCTCCGGGCCTCGCCCAGCTCATTGCTCGCCACACACTCGAACTGGGCCGAGTCCTGGGGGCTGGGGGCTGTGAGGAGCAGAGCGTGGGAGGGCAAGAGCCTGGGACAGACAGACAGATGGCCCGGTAACTGGCAGGCGGACCTCCCGGTGTGACCCTTCTGCCAGGGAGTCTGGACATGGGGCTCTCATGGCCATTACCCTGGCCCTGACTTGAGAAAGGCCTTCTAGAAGTTTTCGCTCCCAGGTGTCAGCTGTGGGGTCTGTGGGCAGTTTAGTGTCATCCTGGGTCTGCCCACAGCTCCGTGAGTATGTGCAGTGACCCCGTGCCCACTCTGTGACGGTAGCCGCAGTGACCCAGTCGGGCAGCTGGGATCCCCTGAGCAGGACCCACAGCTCCATGGTGACCTGCACCCGACTCCCTAGTGACAGTGACACGGCCGTAGTGCTCTGACAGTCATGGGAGCAAGGCTCCTGGGCAGGCACGTGGCCAGGTCCCGACGGGGCGAACTCAGGCCTTCACGTGGTTGTTTTTTTTTTTTCTTTAGATTTTTGCCACTGGGCACTTGCAAGGAGAGACGGAGACAGAGAGGACAGTGAGACATCACCCCGGGGGATGGCCACACTGCAACCCCTTCTCCATTCTCAGGATTGTGGGCATGCACGCACACATGCCTGGCACATTTTTCAGGCTTCTGGGTCCAGGATTGGCACCGTGGAGTCGCCATGTGGGATCCGGCACCTTAACCACCACGCCACCTGCTGGCCTCCAGGTGGCGCTTTCAACACACGTGGTGGCCGTTGCCGTAAAGGTCACGTGCTGTCCTGTCTGGCTGCCCGTTCGTGTGCCCTCACCCCCACCAGGCCTTCCTGTCTGAGTATAAAGACCCTCCTGCTCCCCAGGTCAAGACATGAGCTGGGTCCTGGCTCCAGTGAGACCCTGGGCATGCCCCTCGTTTCTGACCCGGCTCCCTGTCTGCGGGACGGACCCCCTTCCCTGCCCTGAGCATCTCAGCGTCCTGTGGAAGGACCAGCTCGTTACCGGTAGGTGCCCTGCTGCAGGTGGACATCCAACTTCTGTCTGTCCTTCCACCAGACCACGAGGGGCCTGGGGGAGCCGCTGGCCTCACAGGGCAGTGCGGCTGGGGTGTGGGCAGTCAGCGTCAGGTTGGAGGGGCTGGGGGCGATGGCTGGAGGCTCTGGGGAGAGGACGGGCATCAGAAGGGTCAGGACAGGGGTGGGGGAGTGGTGGCGAGCGCTCTGAGGCTGTTCCCAGAGGCAGAGCCCAAGGCCCTCGCTGTCACCTTTGTGCATCTATCAGGGGACAAAGGGAGAGGGCAGGAGGTCCCCAAGTTGGGGCTCGGGGCTGTCCCCACCCCTCGTCTGCCCCTGCATTCTCCTTGAAGGCAGCCTCTAGGGCCTGACTTCCCCCTGGCCCCAGTCGAGGCCTGGGCCACCAGATCGGCCTCCGGCAAGGTGAACACTGGAGTGGGAAGAGACGGAGCATCTGATCCTGGGGATCCTGGGGTCTGGCGCCTGCGGCTGGCCTGCCCTCAGGTACCCCCGGGGGCGAGGTCTCACCTTCCCCAGCCTCCCCAAAGATGCCTTGCCTTTTCTGTACACACAGCCACACCATCGATAGGATAGGAGGGTAGTGAGTGTATGTGACATGTGCATAAAGGGAACTGTCACCCTCGGGCACCATGGGCGTGCTCAGGACTGACGGGCTGGGGGTCGGACATACTCGGAGACCACGGCCCTCAGCTCCTGACAGCTGGGGTGGGCCAGAAGCCAGGCGGAGTGGCCGGCAGGGGCTGCCGCTGGAGGTGGAAACATGCCTTCCTAGTCTGCCTACCGAAGACCTGGAGGTCGCGGCCTTGCCGATCGGAGCCAGCGGAGTTGGATGCCAGGCAGAGGTAGTGGCCGGCGTCCTGGGCGAGCACTGGATGGATCCTCAGGGAACCCTCAGGCAGAACCGCCAACCTGCAATGAGGAGGGCTGCCATGGAGACCAGCGGGCCAGTGGATCCGAGAGGGGCGGGCACCAGCCGGACCCTGTCTCTGCTGTCAGCTCTGCCAGCAAGCGTGCGCTACCTCGGGGGTTAGCACCCAGAGTCCAGGAGGCCAGGGTCAGGGTCATGACCACGGGAACTCTGCGAACCCCAACCCAGCGTCAGAAAGGTTGAGAGAGGGGCTGCTTTGGGCGTCCCGGGCTCCAGCTAACACAAAAGACGCAGGGGTGCCAGGGTGGGCAGGCCAGCCTCTGCAGCAGGACACGAGTCCGTGTCCACAGCTCACGAGGAAGGAGGGCCGTGGCCGTAGGTGAGCAAGGTTACTCAGTGAGGGGAGGAAGGAGCCCTGCACCGCGCGAGAGGGGAGCTCTCCAAGTGGGAGCTCTCCAAGTGGAAGCGCACTGCGGAGTGTTACGCGCTGCCCGCGACCTCGGCCCAGTCCGCACCGCTGTAAGTTCTCCGTGGCCCATCAGGAGCACTGAGCAGGCCTGGGCTCGTCTGCAAGTGTCTTTCCTAACTCGGGGCCCCCAGCTTCCATCAGCTTGGCCTCCGATGTGTTCTCCCTGCCACCCCAATTACAGCCGGTTCTGCGGCAAAGTGTGCGTTTCCACGTTTCTCGTCAGGGCAAACCCAGCCCCCGTCACCGACTGGGAAACGCTGGTTGACATCTTGGAAGCCACCACCTCGACTGTTTGATCTTAATGAAGCATAAGGCTTGTTTTGGCCAGAGGGACAGAAGGTCAAAGGAAGTGGTTTTCATTAAGCCAAAGTGGGCTAGCCGGTTTTCTAGTCTTTTCTCCTCAGCGTCCCATCTTCTGCTACCTGTTCTACCTACCTGCCTGGCCAGGACCTGCCTCACTGCCTGGAGTCCCAGGCGGCAGCCCCGCTCCTGCTGAGAAGGACCTGGAGTTGAGAAGAGCCCCTTCCCAAAGGCCACATGGTGCTTTGTAATCCCGCTCCTGGCCTCACATTGATTGGCCTAAGCAAGGACACGTCACCAGGGCTGGGCCAATGGCGTTGCACGCCCTGGAAATTTGAATCTGAGGATGACAGACAGCTCACAGGGCTCACAGCTGGGCGGAGCTGGTGAAGCTGGGGGCCAGGAGACAGCTTTGCTGTGCTCCTGCTGGCAGAGGAAATGGGAGAGGGAGGGGAAAGAGACATGGAGAGAGAAGCAGGGGAAAGAGACATGCACAGAGAAGCAGAGATTCCCAGGCCCCAGGGCTTCAAAACACTGCGCAGCGGCTGGCCCGGCTGGGGGTTTTGTGGGACACCCGTGTCCTGGTGATAGTCGCTTTTCTGCTCCAGCCGCCCCAGTGGGGTTTGTTTACACCCTGCAAAGAGGTGCTGAGACTCCCGATGCCCCTCTTCCAGTTCCCACCTGAGGCTCTCAGGGTCCAGAGGGGCTCCGTCCTTCCGCCAGCTCACGTGGGGTGGGGGCACACCATCAGCCTGGCAGGGCAGCAGAGCTGTCTGGTTCACCGAGGCGTTCACTGCAGGTGGCCCGGGCTGGATGGTGGGCGCCACTGTGGAGGGGCACAGAGGGGCCAGGCTGGGGGCCCAGGCTCTGGGGGTGGGGTGGGGGTGCAGGGCAGGGGGGCCACACTCACTGTGGATCTCCACATGGAAGGCCACGCTGGAGCTGCCCGCGGCATTGCGGGCAGTGCAGCTGTAGTTGCCAGCATCCGCGGGGCTCAGGGCCTGCAGCTGGAGGAACCTACCCTGCTCCGGGAACTGTGTGTGGGCGTCCGCCTGCAGAACCCACCAGGGACAGACCCCCTCAGAGCAGGCCAGGTCCAGGCACAAACCAGTGAGGTGGACGGTGGCCTCTGCCCCATTCCAGGCTGGCCACAGGCCCAGCTGAGGACCTCAGAGGAAACGGGCTCCTCTGGAAGGGAACGAACACCCCGTGTCCAGAGTTCCTGCCAGAAGGTCTGTAGTCCTTGCGCCCACAACAGCAAATCGGCCCCGTCTGAGGCACAAGAACAGAGAGCCTAAGCTACTGACCGCAGGTCACACAGGCACTAAGCATAGCTGGAAGGTACACTGGGGTGTGCTTAGAGGGAGCAAGTCCCAGCCTTGCCTCGTCCCACCCCCGGCAGGGATGACAATGGCAATGAGGTCAAGGACATCTGGACAGCAGATGCTCAGAGCAGCCCTCAGCACCCAGGATCCGGTCTGGTCTGGGTCTGGGGCCTGGCCGGGATAGGAGGCAGTGCCTCTCGGCGCCCAGCCAGGTACCCACCTGCAGCAGGACCCCATCTCGGTGCCACTCGATCTCGGGTGCTGGCTCTGCCTCCACCGAGCACTCCAGGACCAGCTGCCCGGGGGCCAGGCCAATCACAGAGCGGGGGCCCCGGGGCCCAACGACGTTTGGCGGGGCTGGAGGGGGACAGGAGGGTGTGAGAGACAGACCTGCCCCCAGGCTGTGCCCTGCCTCCCACCCCACCCTTGCCTCTCACCCCTACCTTGAACCCTGACCCGGAAACTCTTCTCGGCCTCGCCAGCAGGGTTCTCAGCCAGGCAGGTGTATAGCCCAGCATCGCCCACCTGGAGACAGGGCAGGTGAGCAGTGGCCTCCGGCTCCAGGCTGCCCACCTCCTGACCTGGTGTCCCACTCGGGCAGCTCAGACCCACTGGGGCTGCCTCGCCCTCCCGGCCACCCCAGCCAACCCACTGTCTCCACCTCCATCTCACTTGATCTGCAGGGCCTGGGCAAGGCCTGCTCCTCCGTGGGTCCCTCTTGACTACACAGGCCTTCTCTGACCTAGTAGGGCACTGTCTGCCTTTGCATCAGCCTGGGCGCTGACCTAGTTGGGAGCTCCTGGGGGTACGGCCCACACCTTCACAGCCCTCAGGGGAGGGTCGTCCAACCTCTATGACTGCACTCGGCCCTGCACCCGGCCTCCTCCCCAGGGCGCGGGCGCCAGCACCTGCACACCCTCCACCCGGAGCGCCTGTCCGCCTCTGCCGCTGCCGTCGGGGCTGCTCAGGGCCTGCCCATCCTTATACCAGGTGACACTGGGCTGGGGGGTGCCCCGGGCATTACACAGGAGCTCCATGGGGGCGCCGGCGGTCAGGGGCAGCTCTGTAGGCTGGTCTGTGTCCTCGATGTGGGGAGGGTCTGTAAGACACCCCACCCTGTGTCAGCCGTGGCCCGCAGTGCCGTGGGCTCCCCACGTTCGGATGTGGACAGTAGACGTGACCACAGACGGAGGGCCCCGGGACGCTCAGAAACCACGGCCACCATCTGGGGCACTCTGTACTTTCAAACCATCGGGATCAGGTATGAGGGCAACACGCTTTCCGATAACCCTCGTGAGCCCGAGCTGAGTCTGAGGACTCTGCCCCCAGATCTCGGTGGCCCTTGTTCTTGTTTCTACCACCCAGGCTTGGCTGACCAGATGGCAGAGCACAGGCCAGGAGAATCAGACAGCCCAGCCGCCCACGCCTGATCCCTGACCTGCTCCCAGGAGAGCCCCAAGACCCTGGAGAACTCACCTCCCTCACCACCTTCCCTGCCACCCCCAGAGGCCTGTCCTCTGTCCCCAGCCCAGAAAGGTGGCACTAAAGACAAGACGACCCACCCATCACGGTCAGCTGGAAGTGCCTCGTGGCCTCCCCCGCCTCGCTCACGGCCAGGCAGGTGTAGGTCCCTGTGTCCTGCGGTCCTGCTGTTTCCAGCTGCAGGCCAGGCCCCTGCTCCAGACTCTGGGACTGCAAGGGCTCCCCATCCTTCATCCACGACACGAGGGGCAGGGGGCTGCCCCGGGCCTGGCACGGGAGGACCACAGGGGAGCCGCGGACCACGGCCACACTGTTCTGGAACTCCGTGGGCTCCAGGACGGGGGGCGCTGTGGAGAGCAGGGAGGGTTCCTTTTCATTCTGTGACAAGTGGCCCTCACCCTGGCCCTTGGGGCTGGCTGTTCCTATGGCTAGGACACGTTTCTCCAGGCCCACTCCTTCTCACCTTCAGTGCTTTGTTGAGACCTCACTGCCTCCAGGAAGCCTCCCCTGAGCCTTGAGGCCAGGTGAGGGCCCCCTCAGTGACCCACAACACCCTCTCCTTCCCCCGTTCTTGGTCATTGTGTCTACAGAGCTGTTCCCCACCTTGACCTGGTGGAGGGGGCCAGTCTACTCCTGCCGTAGCCCGGTGCCTGCAGGGCCTGGCATGCCAGAGGGTCTAACGCATACAAGTGGGCAGCTGGGCAGCCAAATCACCAGTGTTTGCTCAGCCTTGACCCCACCCCCCAGGGCTGACCCTGGACCCACCAGGATGGGCACAGGGGCCAAAGGGCTCAATTCTCACCCGCCAAGGCCAAAGGGCCCGCAGAGCCCCCCAGCACCCCAGCCCGCGCTCATACCGTGCACCTGCAAGGTGAAGTTCCTGTCGGCCACGCCGGCTGGGCTCGCAGCCACACAAGTGAAGACGCCGGAATCTGTCCCCTGCACCTGGGAGATCCTGATGGGAGGTATGGGGGTACTGGGTCGGAGCGCCCCCTCCCTTCTCCATCCTTCATCCCTTAACCCGGCCCGAGGGGTGACTTGGAAGTGCCAACCTGGGTGCAGCCTCTGCTCAACCCCCTCTCCTGGCTCTCCCACACTCCCAGCCCCGCTCTCCGGCACATCGTCCTTCCTCTTTCCTGGAACCCCCTTTCCTCCGACCGCTCCTCCTAATGGCTCTTGCCAAGTCCCCTGGGATGGCCACGACTCAGGTCTGCCCCGCCACCTCGCCGAGTCCTTGCATGCGCCTGAGCTGCAGGCGCGTCCTCACACCTGCCGTGAGGTCACTGCTGGCCTCCAGCTCCACGGCGTGCTGACAGTCCCAAATGTGGACTGCCGTGGACTCTGAGTGGGACGCCACGACCTGCTGTCCTCCCTGGATGCCTTCAGACTTCTCACCCAAGGTCTCCTCCCAGAGCCTGCATCCCACCCTCCACCCGGCCTCCCATCCGAGCTCTCCCATCTCAGAAACTTGGAACCGTGGATCCGGTACTAGGAGGAAAGCCCCCGAGCTGTGCTTGGCAGCGTGGCTTCACACACCTGCAGGTGCAGCCAGGGCTGCCTGCCGGACATCCAGGACCAATCTGCCTCTCACCGCCTCCCCCTGCAGCTCTGCTCCGGGCTTGTCACACCTAACCTGTGTGGTCACGAGAGTCCCTGCCTGCCCTCCCGCGCTGCCCTCATCGGCCTGCCGTCCATGGGGCAGCCACAAGGGCTGCCTGAAAACCCAAGGCAGCCCACAGGAACGGAAGGCAGACATGAATGGCTATTCTCTTTTTTTTTAAAAAAATAATTTGCTGTAAGGCAGGTGTGCTCACTGGAGAGAGGGAAAGGGATGGGGGGTCAACATGGGCAATCCCCCCAGGGGGCATGGCCATGCCACAATCCCTTTTCCATTCTCCCCTTATCATTTTGGGCATGCACACGAGCCCGGTGTTTTATGTCATGATCTGGAACTTGAGCCGAGCTGTCGGCCATGTGGGATCCAGCGCCTTCACCCGCACGCCCGCGGCTGGCCATGACCCGCTGTTTACACCTATGTCCACAGCAGCATGAGTCGCAGCCCACAGGGTGCGAGCAGCCCGAGTGAGTCGGTGTAGATGACTCCCTAGCCTCGCCCTGCGTCACTAAGACCCCAGGGTAAGCAGCCCCTCCCTTCTCCATCCTTTGTCCCAGGGTAATCAGAGCAAGGCAAGGTGAGGTTCAGCCCTGGGAGGATAGCAGTTCTGATAGGAGTTCTGACGTGCCTGTGGCTGGACCCTAAGGGCCCTGATCTCAGTGAGAGAAGCCACATCCGGGAGGACACAGCCTGGAGGGTCATCTTACAGGAGGTCCCCAGAGTAGTCAATTCAGACCGGAAGTGGACCGGTGGGTGCCAGGAGGGGAATGGGAGTCAGTGTTTCATGGGATAGAGTTCCGCTTTAGAAAGATGAGAACATTCTGGAAACGAATGGAGACACTAGGGGCTGCATGGCCTGTTTCTCTCGTGGCCTGCAGAAACCTCCCACATTGCTCTGGACTCCGGGGGCTCCAGGATGGGGCACTCCTTCCTATTCCCTGACAGGCAGCCTCACCCCGGGCCTGGGGGCCGGCTGCTCCGATGGCCAGAACACCCTTCTCCTGGCCCGGTGGCTGCCACCCTTCAGCCAGGCCACGTTGCATGACAAAGCGCCTGCACTTAACCCCGGGCGGTAACTCGGACCGGAGAGACGGCAAAATTTGTGTGTGTGTGTGCTCTGCCACAATAAAAATGAATGCTGACCTTTCCCACCCCCCCCCCGCCACACACACACACACACACGCGCGCGCACGCACACACACACACACGCGCGCGCACGCACACACACACACACGCGCGCGCACGCACACACACACACACGCGCGCGCACGCACACACACACACACGCGCGCGCACGCACACACACACACACGCGCGCGCACGCACACACACACACACGCGCGCGCACGCACACACACACACACGCGCGCGCACGCACACACACACACACGCGCGCGCACGCACACACACACACACGCGCGCGCACGCACACACACACACACGCGCGCGCACGCACACACACACACACGCGCGCGCGCGCGCGCTTTCCAGGTCTCAGGAACACCCGGGACCCAGGACCCGGGACTTGCCAGGCGCCAAGGTCTACCCTCACCACCCGACCTCCCTGCCTGCCCCGGCCCTACCTGCTCCCCAGACTCACGGGGGCTCCTGCCTCAGGACCTTCGGACGCGCTCGCCCCTCTGCCTGACACTCTTCCCCGTGGGACCCACTCACTCCTGCCTCTGCCCGAGTGTCCCCTCTCCCAGAGCACCCTAAGCTGCGTGTCCTCCACTGCCGCCATTGCTCTCTGGGCCCACGTCACCTGTAGAATATGTCACAGGCATTTCACTTCACACGTTTGTTTCTAGCCCCTTCCCCAGCTCTTGCAGCTATAGGGACAGGGGTTTTGTCTTGCTCACTGTTCTACCCTAGGGTCTGGAACTGTGCCTGGAACAGTAAGGACCTACACTGACCCTCAGTGCAGGAGGGCTCTACTCAGGCCCCTTCTTCCAGGAAGCCCTCCCTGATTTTCTGCCAGGCTTTGTCATTGCAGTCAGGTGTCATCACCTGGCTTTCAGCCACTCCCAGTGGGCTGCAGGTGAGGCCCTTCCATCTCCAGAGTTCTGTGTGGGGTACTCTTTCTCTCTGTCATAAACCTGTGTATGTTTATGTTATTTTAATTTTTATTCTTTAAATTTTTTTTTTCTTCTTTTTCTATAGGGTATGTGCACCCTGAGGCAGAGAGAGCGGGAGGGAGGGAGAGAGCGAGCCATGCCCAGTCCCTCTCTTCTAGTCTCCTTTCTGGATCTTAGGCGTGCATGCACACATGCCCAGCATGACTTTCAAACTGTCTAGTCCAAGACTCGAACCATGCACTTGGCCATGTGCGATCCAGTGCCTTAACCTCCATGTCACCTACTGGCCCTAGATTACTTTTATTTGGAAGCCCCCTCGGAGTGTCTATAAACCCATACTGCCTGAAGAGCGTGTCTGGAGCTTCCTCCCGGCTGGCAGGTGGGCCAGGGAGCCTGTCCCCTACCTGAGGGTGCGGCCAGAGCTGTGGAGGAGGGTCCGCTGGGACAGCGGGAGGGGCAGCCCATCCTTGAGCCAGCTCACGTGGATGGGCGGGGAGCCCCGGACCGGGCATGCCATGGTCACCAGCTCGCCAGGCCTGCTCACCAGGGTCCCCAGGCCGTCTGCTCCCTGCTCGATGGTGGGTGGGACTGCGGTTAGGAGAGAGAAAAAGGGGGGCATGAGGGGCCTCGGGCAGTGGGCTCCTCCCCAGGACCCAAGGAGGAGGTGCTGAGATACAGACTCTGGAAGCCACGGCCACGGCAGGGGGATCCTAGAGCTTGTCCACTGCACACAAGGGGCGAGGCCACAGTGGGTGGGAGGCGGGGTGGTCCGCAGCTTCACCCCGGGTCTCCTCTTCTGTCATCCCCCCACTCTCTGTTGTACCCCGGGCTCGAGTGGTTGGGCCTCAGTGCAAGGAGGTATGGCAGCCTGGAGAGGTCAGACCCCTGGGCTGGGTCACAGTGTGGGCACAGCCAAGGCTTGACCCCAGGCCTCCTGTACACCAGCTGCTCCAGACCCTGGTGGAGGCCCTAACCGCCAGTCTGCTGTGGGCCAGGTACGGGGGCTAGCCCTGGCTCCTCACCCAGCACGTGGACTGAGTGCAGCCTGGCGTCCTCCCCGGCAGGGTTGCGGGCCACACAGGTGTAGGCGCCCGAGTCGGAGGCCTTCAGGCCCTTCAGCACCAGGGAGCTGCCGTCCAGGTAGAACCTGTGCAGGGGAGGGGCCAGGGCTGTGAGGGGCTGCAGGCCTGCTGCCGGGGGAGGGCTGGGCCGGGGCTTACCGGAGGTGGGGGCCCGCGCCCTGGTCCAGAGGGCTGCCATCCTTTAGCCAGGCCACGTCAGGTGGTGGCTGGCCCTCGACCTCGCAGTCCAGTTGCACCTCCTGCCCCTCCAGGACGGTGTGCTCCTGTGCGGTGCCTGCGCTCCGGATCCGGGGGGCCTCTGCAGCAGAGGCTGGGGTAAGGACGGGGCAGGGCTGCTGCAGGGCAGGATCTGGGGGCGTGTGGGGCACACACATACCCAGCACGGCCACCACGAAGTCCTTGCGTGCCTCGGCCTGGGCGTTCTCGGCCACGCACGTGTAGGTGCCCGCCTGGGCCGGCTGCAGGCGGCTGAGCTGGAGGCGGCCCCCCCGGGAGACCACGCCGTGCACCACGCTGGTCTCTGTGGGTTGGAGGGGAGCCCTTGAACCCTCACGTCTGATGCTCGTGGGAATCTGAGGTCCAGGGAGGTAGGGCTGCCTCTACACCCGCTCTTCTCAGCCTGGCCTCTGGCTGCTATGTCTTATGGCCTCTCTTACCCCCACGTCGGGGCTTGCCCTCGGCCCACCCTCCTCGTCCACTGCCTTCCAGCTCCCCTACCTACCCACTCCATTCAGCACGCTTCCAAGGAGAAGGCCCATCAATCACTGACCCCAATGTGGGCTACCCTGGGGCTTCCCCTGGGCCCGGTCTGGAGTGCCTCCCCTTGGTTCTCGGCCATAGCCCTACCAAAACCACTTCTAACACCAGGCTGACCGTGCTGGCCCAAAGCCTCGCCTGCCTAGCCAGCCTTCAGCACCAAGTGAGCTGGGCAACTGCCCCACGCCCAGCTGTGTGCCTGGGGACCTGACAACAGGCACGGGCCTTAAAGGAGTTCAGAGTGCATTGGCGAGGACGGTGAGGCCAGTGCAAGCTGGCATGCACGCCCTGAGAGCCCCTGCTGGAGCTGGCGCATGGGCGGGGAGGGACCAGGGAGGAGGAGGCTCAGCCAAGACTTGAGCGTGAATGAGGGCAGGGGTCAGACAGGGAAAGCAGGGGTGCCGTGTGGGGATTCCAGAAGGGAACGGCCTGTGCAGAGCCGTGGTGCCCAGAGAGGGCAGGGCCACGGCCACGCCAGCCACGGCCCTCAGAGATGTGGAAACCCACGCCCACACGAAGCCTTGTGCATGCCTTGCACACTCAGACTCACAGCAGCCCTGTTCATAACAGCCACAGGTGGAAGCAGTCCAAACACCCACCCACTGACAGACAGACAGACAAACCCGCTGTGATCTAGTCACACGACGGCATATTCAGTGAAAGGGAATGAAGGGAAAAATCAAATTAAATGTGACTTTAAAGAGGCATGGAGTGGGATCAGCAGTTGGCATAATGGCTATGTCACTGGACTCCCATGTAGTCAACCATGGTTCAAGTCTTGGGCCCGGTGGTTGTGTGTGTGTCCAAGATCCTGAGAGGAGAATCGAGGAGAAGGGATTGCGACATGACCATCTCTCCTGGGGGGTGATTTCTCGCTTTCTGTCTCTCTGTCTCTCTCTGCCTTTCTGGCGAGCGCACGTGCCCTATAGCAAAAACCAAAAAAAAAAAAAAAAAGAGGCGTGGAGTGTCGGTCCATGCTACAACGTGGGCGAGGCTTGGAAACATGCCAAGAGGAAAAGCCGGGCACACAGGGCCACCCGTGGTCTGGCTCCACCTGTCTGAAATGTCCAGAGCTGGCACGTCCACAGAGACAGAGCAGGTGATCGCGTCCCAGGGCTGGGAGCGGGAAAAGTGGGGAGGGGTGGGCGTGGCGGCCAATGGGCCTGGGGTCCTAACCGTGCTCCACGCTGGATTGCTGTGGCGGCTGTGCGACCCTGCGAGAGGGCTCAGTCATTGCGTTGCATGCTTTAAATGGCGAATTGGTATGGAAACTACATCTTTTTTTTTTTTTTTTCAGAGAGAGACTTTTGTTATAGGGTGTGTGTGCTCACTGGAGAGACAGAGAGAAACAGAAAGTGCAGAAATCACACCCCGGGGGATGCCATGCCACAATTCCTTCTCCTCCACTCTCTTCCTGGAACTTTGGGTACGCACACGCAGACATGTGCCCAGTGTGAACTTCAAGTCTCTGGGTCCGGGACTCCAACAGTAGCCACGCCTGTGGGAGTCCAGTATCTTAACTACTACGCCACCTGCTGGCCCCACAGAAACTGCATCTTACATCTCAATAAAACTGGGAAGAAAGGGTGGGGGAGCTGGTGGGGAGCCGCAGCGGGAGAAGGGGCTGACCCAGCCGTGTGGGGTTCTGGTTGTGGCCTCAAGGGCAACAGCCATGGGAGGATTTTCAACAGACAAATGCCCTGCTCGGAGTGGTGCTTCCAGATCCTTCTGCCCATGCAGAGCCTGCGCTGGGGCACAGAGTAGGCCACAGGCTAGTGGCAGGGCTGCTGTCCTCCAGAAGGGGCAGAGGTGGCTAGAACAGGGAGGGGTGCAGCCCCACTGGTGGGAGCGTACCAGGGAGCCAAGGACAAAGGCCTACATGGAGTGACCAGCGTCCGGGCAAGGACCGTAGCATCCCCCAGGAGGAGCAGCTCTGGGCCAGCGCTCTCCCAGGACCAGACGGCTGGCTTCGCCAGGGCCTGCAGAGCCCACCCTGCACAGCACAGCCGTGCGTCTGCCTCGTAGAGCTGACCGAGGGCATGGACACGCGGCCGCGGCCAGCCCCCAGTAGGAGCAGTGCCTGAAGTTGTCTTCCAAGGGCCAAAGTAAAGGCCAGCGGAGTGGGCGGACGTGGCGGCAGCCTCTGCCTTCGCCAGGCAAGGCAGTTCGCAGCCAACGCTGCTGCAGCTTTCAACACACAGAGGAACTTCACACTGAAAAGGCACGACGCACTCACCCACGGGCATTCTGTCCTTCATCCAAGTCACGGTGGGTGCAGGGACGCCAGACACGTCGCAGGTCAGGATCAGCGGGCTCCCAGCCACCTGGCTGACTGCCTCTGTGTTGGGGTTCCCAAATGTTGGGGGCACTGAAGGAAAGAAGCTGGATCTCAGAATCCTGAGGCTCATCTCCCTCCTTCCTTCTGTCTGAGCTGCTCAGAGAGGCCTGGGGGACAGCTGGCATCTCCCGACCTGGTCCCCCCGGGTGCAGTGGGTGGAGCACATGGTGGCTCAGGAGGACATCACACTCCCAACTCCTGGGGGGCCTGCTGCAGCCCTCACCAATAACATCCAAGCAGGAGGGACAGACACGACTTCTACATACAATAAACCCGTGCCCCACCCTGCTTCCGCTCTCTCCTGCTTTCCCGGTGCTGGGACCGAACACAGTGGGGGACAAGACCCTCGGAGACTGGAGGGGAGCGAAGTGGGAGGAGCCTGGGCCCCTGAATTACCAGGCAGAGCTGAGCTGCCCGCCCTACACACTTCCCTCTGGGCTCTGGGAGAGCGGTGAACTCTCATCTCACCCACTGTATTCGGAGGTCTCCATTACACGGCTAAGTCGGTACTCCGACCGATACATCTGGCCCCAAGAAAATCTGGCCCAGCTCCCTCAGCAGCTCACACAGTCTCCTCCTCCCCCAGCTTAAGTCACATGTCCAGCCAAATGTCACCATGTTCCATCCTTGGGCTGCTGGGACAGGCCCCCTTGGTACCCCCAACAGAGGTGATGTGGCCCCAGGCCTCCCAAGTGTCTGACCTCCAGGGGCTCCTTCATCTCAGTGCCAAGGTGCCACAGCGTATGCCCCGCACTTTACAGCTGCCCAGGACTTCCATGTGCCCAGTGGGCAGGCCCTGCTGTTGACCTCCTTTACAGAAGCTAGACTCAAGACTTGCAGGGCCAAGTCTGTGAGGGCCCCCAGCAGGTCATGGGCAGGGTCCTGCTGGGATCCCGCAAGTCCTGGTCTCCTACGTGTCAGACCTGTGCCCTAACACATGACCACCCACCTCCTGCCAGACCCTCCCACCCTGGGCAGCCCACCCCCACTCACCTTGGACAGTGAGGATGAAGGCGCGGATGGCCTCCCCAGCCGCATTGGTGATCTTACAGCTGTATAAACCTTTATCCGACACCTGGACCAGGAAGAGCACTTCATTACGGCGTGCCTGGACCTGGAGCTCCCCCCAAAACATCCAGGCTGCAGAAGATCCAGGTCAGGGACTCTCCAATATGCTGGTCTTGCCTGAGGAGCTAAAGGGCCGTGGGACCCTCCTCCAGCCTTCCCCAAGAGCCTCAAGAAGCAGGAGGGCCCATCAAGGCAAATGCAGAGGCTCTGGACCCTGCCCTCCCAGGGCCTGCTTGTCCATCGGGCCTGGAAGGAAGAGGCCCTCTGGCTGTGGGCTAGGAGGAGGGCCCAGAATGGATCACCAGGGGAGCCACAGAGATGACCCTAGCATATTGTCTTCTTGGCACCAGGAACAGAGGGAGGAGGACAGACTCCCAGAAGTCAGACAGCGAAGCTAGGGACCTAGGAGTCTAGATCCAGGGGATACTGAGGCTGGCAGCACAGGCAGGATGACTTGAGGTCATGCCATGAGTCAGTGTCCAGTCAGACTAGAACCCAGCTCTGCAGCCCTGCGAACTCCCCATGTCTCCCAGCTTGAAAGCTGCCTGTCAGCTCAGTCTGGGGTCCTGCAGGCTGAGGGAGCAGCCCCCCATACCTGCCACATGCCTGCCCACCTCCCTCCTGCAACGCTCCCAGGGCCAGGAGGTGGTGTCCACCCTTGACCCCGGGCTGCTCACCTGGGTGTCCAGGATCTCCAGCCTCTGCCCCTCTTGCAGAGCCTGGCTCCTCTGCACCAGGGCCAGGGGCTGCCCGTCCTTGTACCAGGTCACGGCTGGCTTGGGGAATGACTCTGTCTCACAGCTCAGGACGGCCTTGTCCCCAGCCCGCACCTGGACCACCTCCTGGTGGCTACTGGAAGCCTGCCTGAAGGTGGGTGGAGCTACGGGCAGGAGACAGCAGAGTGCGGGGCTGTGACCTTCCTGTGTCCTCCCGCGGAGGCCCATAAGGGCCATAAGTGACCCAGTATTGCCCCCAGGGAGGAGGAAGAGAACTCAGGCCAGCACACTAAGGACCTGCTGGGTGACCAGTGACTGCCGCTGCCCTCTCTGGGCCTCGGCTTCCTGGCTGGAAATGCCAGCAGGCTCTCACAGGAGACGGGCTGCGGCTGGGTAAGCGCCCCCACCGGGCCGCATAGCTGCTCCAGGCAAACAGAGTG